TATATATTGCATCAAAGACGCTATATATTCTTCGATTTCCACGAAATTTGGCATGGCGTACTGAAGTGAGTCTAGAACGATGTGTGCTAAGTTCCATGAAGTTCCGTTCAGATTTAGATGTAGCTCCAATATATATTTTCGTCCGATTTTACATAAATGGTGCACCAAACTCCTATTGTTTGTGCGATTAATACGAAATATTGCACAACGTATCCAATTGAGACTTGAATGACGTTATTGCGTTTTGTTGAAATTGGTGCAGATCCAGCCATAGCTTCCATATGTATTTCGAGCGGTTGTCTGATTGAGATTACATTTTTAACCGTGCGGTGTACCGAAAAGCGTGTATCAGTTTTGCTATAAATCTTTTTCCTTAAATTTGTCCCATGGTACGCAGACGACTCTAAATCTGACCGAATGAAATTAAATTTATAATAGATTGCAAAAAGACAATAGTGTGTTCCTACGAGGGAACATTGATATACAATTGTAAGGATACATATGTACAATATACCCAAGTGGTGAAGGGTTTCATAAAGTCGGCCCAGTCCGACTTTTCTACTTTCCTTACTGGTTAAAGAATATTTCCAGGCTCAAACGAATATTTCTTCAAATATCCACACTATTCCAAAAATTGTTAAACCCTGCCTCGTATATACAAATTGTATACATTAAAATATATTATTTGTTTTTTGTCTACATACATATATGTATATAATAGAAAATGTATATATGTACATATTATATTTACTTTGGAATTTTATTTTCACCTTTATACTAATTATCCACTGACGACTGACAGTCATCTAATTTCAACTGCAAATGCGTGAACAACAACAACCAAAGCCAAATACAAATACAAATCTCCTTCTAATCGTCAACAACAACAAAAAATTGTGTTCGTAAACAAAGTACGAAACAAAAATGCTAAATAAATATAAACAAAACAAAAAACGAAGAAGAAAAACATAAAAGAAAAGCCAAGTCGAGCAGTCAAATGGTAAATACAACAACTATATCCCCCAAAGCTTATTTAGGCGGTATTGTGACGACGAGCAGGAGTGAAGTGGAGGGTGGGAGGAAGTCTGTGTGTAGACCAAATAAAATGTATAAACAAAATCAAATCTAAATTTTATTTATGAAAATAAACAAAATATAATAACAACAACAACAAGAATATTAGGTTATACAGTTGTTTCGCTCACTCCCTAATTTTTTTTACTTATTTTTTATTTTGTTTCTTGCACACATTATATAATGTGCATCAAGATATGAAAAAAAAATGTGAAACAAACTGGGAGGCTAATAAAAAAGTGGGATTAACATAAACAAAAAATGATAAATGTGTATTGCCCAATCTGGGGGAAAAATATATACATATAGTACACATTGTCAGCTAACAATAAAATAAGGTTCATTAATATTTGAGAAGAAGAAAACAATATATTTGGCACGAGAAAAAAAATTGTTAACAACAAATAGAAAATAAAAATAAATTTAAAAGAAAACAAAAATTGGCAAAAGTTAATGCAAACAATTTTTTCTAAATTATTTATATGTATAAATATGTTTTTGGCTCACGTGCCGTTCAAAAATATAGATATGGCATAGTAGAAAATAAAACAAATTTAATATGAAAATTTAAAACAAATGGCGTATGAGTGTTACAAATACAATATTACGCATACGCTCTATCTATTACCGAATTAATATTACTTATACGACACAGGATTCAAAAATTGAAATAGCATCGAACAAAAAATTATAATAAAGACTTGACAATTAAAAAAAGTAATTAAAAATTTGCAGAACTTAACATAAAACCAGTGAGCGGAGCAGTATAATCGGACGGGGCCGACCATACGATACCCTACGATACCCAAATCGGAAGGGAAAATATCTCACCGTCGGAAAATTCAGCTTTCATGAAGAAACATCTGACAAAGGCATGATATGATGCATGACAACGGCATGAGTTAGCAGCCAAAATCCTGGAAAATACCCACGAAAAACACATCGACACATTCCACCTATTCGTTGACTATAAAGCCGCATTCGACAGCCCTATTCGTCCAGAGGTGTTGAAAGCCATATCTGCGTTTGACATTGCTGCATAAAGAATACGGCTATGCAGGATAACTCTAAGTGGCACAAGGTCAGAAGTTAAAGTCGGAAAGGACCTATCGAAGCCCTTAAATACCGGACGAGGATTCAGACATGGTGACAGTTTTTCGTGTGCTCTTTTAATATCCTGCTGGAAAAGGTTATACGAGAGGCAAAGGTGAACAGAAATGACACTCTGTACACCAAACAACGCCAGTTACTCGCCTACGCCGATGACATCGATATAACGGGTCGAACATTGCGAGCGGTAACAGCCACCTTTGTACAAATTGAGAAGGAGTCTGCAAAAGTGGGTCTGGCAGTAAACGGCGAGAAGACTAAGCTGATGATATCAACGCACAAGACGTCCAGTAGACTCGGACTAACTGTGGAATGGGAGAACTACAGCTTCGTGGTAGTTTAATATTTTATATACCCTGGTACCGCCATAAACAAAACGACTGACATCAGTTTTGAAATTCGGAGAAGGATTGTGATGGCCAACAGATGCTACTATGGTCTAAGTAAGCAGTTTAGGAACAAGGCCACCTCCCGTCTGACCAAACTCACACTTTACAAGACGCTAATACTACCTGTGCTATTATTATATACCTTGGTACCGCCATATACAAAATGAATGACATCAGTTTTGAAATTCGGAGAATGATTGTGATGGCCAGCAGATGTTACTATGGTCTACGTAAGCAGTTTACAAACAAGGCCACCTTTCGCCAGACCAAACGCACACATTACAAGACGCTGATACTACCCGTGCTGTTATATGGATCTGAAGCATGGGTACATGCGCAAGCAGATGAGGCAGCTCTTGGAGTGTTTGAGAGAAAAAATTCTCCGAAGGTATATGGACCGATCTGCGTTGACGCTGAATATCGCCGTCGAATGAACCATGAGCTGTACAAGCTTTTCTCGGACAGCGGCATTGTTAGACATATTGAGATGCAGCGACTACGTTGGCTAGGTCATGTTGTGAGAATGGATGAATGGATGCAAGGACTACCTTGGCTAGGTCATGTTCTGAGAATGGATGAAGATGTCCCAGCCCAGAAGGCATATAAAAGCGAACCAGCTGATGGTTCACGCAGAATAGGAAGGCCACGAATTAGATGGAAAGACCAAGTAGAAAACAACATCTTGGAAGGTGGCCTTTCAAATTGGAGGAGATGTGCACAAGACCGACGCGCTTGAAAATCTTTTTTAAGCTCGGCTTATAGAACAATCGTTCTGCTAAGTAAGTAAGTAGCCAGCTAAGTAAGTAAGTAGTATTTTACGGCTTAGGTGAAGCTTGAAAAAATATATTTTTTAAAAATCTAAACCTTAGGTGAAGCTTGAAAAATTATTTTTTTTTAAAAATCTAAACCTTAGGTGAAGCTTGAAAAAATATTTTTTTTTAAAAATATACGTCTTAGGTGAAGCTTGAAAAAATATTTTTTTTAAAAAATATACGCCTTAGGTGAAGCTTGAAAAAAATATTTTTTTTAAAAATCTACGCCTTCTGGTGACCCCTGAATAAATATTCATTAAAAATCTACCCCGTCTGGTGACCCCTGAAAAAATACTCAATAAAAATCTACGCCTTCTGGTGACCCCTAAAAAAAATATTCTTTAAAACATCCACATCCTAGGTAGGCCGACTTATATAGTACTTGAAAAAATATTTTTTAAAAAATCCACGCCTTGTATAGTACTTGAAAACCATTTTTTTAAAAAAATATATATTTGAGAAAAAATCAACATGATATCTATATCTGAACAAATACTTTTGCCATAAAGGGCAAATGTTTGTTTCCTCTTTCTGTGTAAACATAGAATGCATTTATATCGTCTCTGTAGATAATTTGTTTATAGACATGTGGAAAATTTATATAAAAACAAGTTATTTTTAAACAATGTCTATTAATATAGGTTTTATCTGCTGTTTCTTTATTTGCTACTTTAATAACAGCTATAAAACTGAAATGAATTAATTACACTCAATGTTTAAATAACTTCGTCTATATTTAGCAAAGTTTATTTTTAAAACTATAGAATTATTATTTTTTTATTATTATTTTTTTTCTTTTGATATCAAGGTAAGGTATATCGGCCTGTCTATCTGTTTCATTTGACAATTGTCAACATCCTCAGTGTGACCATGTGATTAAACAATTAGAGCAATTGGAGACAGCACCAACAACCAACCATATGCCTCTGGTGACAAAAAAAAAATACAACAACTGTCACTCCCACTATATGGGGGAAATGTGTGAGGGTGTGTATAAATATTGCAAATAGAAAAATGTACATCCAACCACGAGTCTGAGGCAAATAATGAAATATGTCATCAATTGTGTGGAAAGAGAAATATCTACGAAATTGTATCCTTTTGTTAGAACAATTAGTTTACACCTTTTTTGTTATGGAAATTCAATGTAAACAATGGTAATATTGAAAATGCACGCTGCTGGGTATAGAAAGTGGACTGAATAGGTAGCAAAATACAATAAATATAATGGCTTGAAATCTTATTGGTTTCAGGGATCATATTTGGTTGAAGATCGGGTCAATGATATACAATTTTTATTATTAAAAAAATCGGCGTAGTTTTATGAATAAATAAATCCCAAAATAATTTCAAAACATTCGGACGTATGAATATTTAAAATTATGCCCAATATTCATACGCCCCCATTACCATACGACACCACCACTTCTTTCAATTATTAATACTCTGAGTACGAATAGGCGTATGATTATTTAAAATTACTTCTACTACTCACACGCCCTCTATGACCATATTAATATTAATTATACGACCCCAAGACCCACACTAAAGTTTTTACTAAATTTCCTCTCATTCTAATTATTAACAAAATTAAAAAAAATAAATGCTCACTTACCCGACATAAAATGCAATAAGATCGATACAATTGGATACAATACTGGACTGTAAGTAATATCTGGACAATCATAACCCAATACATTAACAATACGATCGGCTACCGCTCGACCGGTACGCGTTAAATGATACGGCAGGCAATGGGTTGCATCAACAAATGCTGGTAACATAATGGGCTTTTCCGATAGTTCTGTGGTACCGAAAACCTAGCGTGGGGAGAGAAGAAGAAAAATTATTTACAATTTTCTAAATCGGAGGTGCTCGTATACGTACCTGATGAACCATCTCCCAATAGAAACCCTCAACCATTTGTGGTTTCGTATTGTGTTGGGCACACAGTGCTGGCCATAATTGTGATCGTATCGGTGAATTAATGGGCCATGAATTTTCACGTAAAATACTTTTCACTTCACGTTTTTTGCCTTGGTCGAGCAGCTGTTTGATTTCGGTAAATGAACGCAAGGCTGGTTCTTTGCCTAGAAGAAAGAGCAAGAAAAAACAAATTAGTAAAAATTTGAAGGATTAAAAAAAAAATAATTTTATTGAAAACGAATATAAAATTCAAATATAAAAAAACGAATTTTTTATAAAAAAAAAATATAAAAATACGACAGTAATAATTTTTGTTTTTTTTTTTAATTTTCAATAATTATTTTGCTTGAAAAATGGATCGCCATCATCTGTCTGTCTTCTACCCTATCGCTCATTCAGATTTATTCGCCCGTTTCTTGAAAAAATTTTCTTTAAAAAATCTACGCCTGTCTGTGGCCCTTGAAAAAATTTTCTTTAAAAAATCCACGCCTGTCTGTGGCCCTTGAAAAAATATTCTTTAAAAAATCCACGCCTGTCTGTGGCCCTTGAAAAAATATTCTTTAAAAAATCCACGCCTGTCTGTGGCCCTTGAAAAAATATTCTTTAAAAAATCCACGCCTGTCTGTGGCCCTTGAAAAAATATTCTTTAAAAAATCCACGCCTGTCTGTGGCCCTTGAAAAAATATTCTTTAAAAAATCCACGCCTGTCTGTGGCCCTTGAAAAAATATTCTTTAAAAAATCCACGCCTGTCTGTGGCCCTTGAAAAAATATTCTTTAAAAAATCCACGCCTGTCTGTGGCCCTTGAAAAAATATTCTTTAAAAAATCCACGCCTGTCTGTGGCCCTTGAAAAAATATTCTTTAAAAAATCCACGCCTGTCTGTGGCCCTTGAAAAAATATTCTTTAAAAAATCCACGCCTGTCTGTGGCCCTTGAAAAAATATTCTTTAAAAAATCCACGCCTGTCTGTGGCCCTTGAAAAAATATTCTTTAAAAAATCCACGCCTGTCTGTGGCCCTTGAAAAAATATTCTTTAAAAATCCACGCCTGTCTGTGGCCCTTGAAAAAATATTCTTTAAAAATCCACGCCTTGTATGGCCCTTTGAAAAAATATTCTTTAAAAAATCCACGCCTTGTATGGCCCTTTGAAAAAATATTCTTTAAAAAATCCACGCCTGTCTGTGGCCCTTGAAAAAATATTCTTTAAAAAATCCACGCCTGTCTGTGGCCCTTGAAAAAATATTCTTTAAAAAATCCACGCCTTGTATGACCCTTTGAAAAAATATTCTTTAAACAATCCACGCCTTGAATGACCCTTTTGAAAACATATTCTTTAAAAAATCCACGCCCTGAATGGCTCTTTGAAAAAATATTCTTTAAAAAATCCACGCCCTGAATGGCTCTTTGAAAAAATATTCTTTAAAAAATCCACGCCCTGAATGGCTCTTTGAAAAAATATTCTTTAAAAAATCCACACCTGTCTGTGGCCCTTGAAAAAATATTCTTTAAAAAATCCACGCCTGTCTCTGATCCTCAAAAAAATATTCTTTAAAAAATCCACGCCTTGTATGACCCTTGAAAAAATATTCTTTAAAAAATCCACGCCTTGTATGACCCTTTGCAAAAATATTCTTTAAAAAATCCACGCCTTGTATGACCCTTTGAAAAAAATATTCTTTAAAAAATCCACGCCTTGTATGGCCCTTTGAAAAAATATTCTTTAAAAAATCCACGCCTTGTATGGCCCTTTGAAAAAATATTCTTTAAAAAATCCACGCCTTGTATGGCCCTTTGAAAAAATATTCTTTAAAAAATCCACGCCTTGTATGGCCCTTTGAAAAAATATTCTTTAAAAAATCCACGCCTTGTATGGCCCTTTGAAAAAATATTCTTTAAAAAATCCACGCCTTGTGTGGCCCTTGAAAAAATATTCTTTAAAAAATCCACGCCTTGTGTGGCCCTTGAAAAAATATTCTTTAAAAAATCCACGCCTTGTGTGGCCCTTGAAAAAATATTCTTTAAAAAATCCACGCCTGTCTGTGGCCCTTGAACAAATATTCTTTAAAAAATCCACGACTTGTATGGCCCTTTGAAAAAATATTCTTTAAAAAATCCACGCCTGTCTGTGGCCCTTGAAAAAAAAATATTCTTTAAAAAAATCGACGCCTTATATGGTCCTTGAAAAAATATTCTTTAAAAAATCCACATCTGTCTGTGGTCCTTGAAAAAATATTCCTTAAAAAAAATCCACGCCTTGTATGGCCCTTGAAAAAATATTTTTTAAAAGATTTGAAAAATCTACGCCTTAGGAAATTGTTCTCGAAAAACTTAGGCTGCATGCTTACCCCTGCTCTCCTCAATTTCGAACCTATCCTAATACAAAATCATGTTAACCCCCCTCGATACTTGGATTTTGCAAATTCCTTAAGTGTTTTTTTTATGACTTAAGTCATTTATGGTATGTACGTGATTTGTGGCCGGCTATACAATTTTTGTTTTTAAATCACTTAAAGATAACAACATTTATATTTTCATTGCACTACACTCTCTTCGAAAGCGATTAATGTCTGTCCCGAAGTTAGCAGCAGTAGTTCATATGGGTCTTTCATAGGTGGTCGTCGTTGTTGTCGTCGTATTATGGCCTTATCAGTTCTATTGTGTGTTTTGTTTTTTTTTTCACAGAAGATTTGATTTGCTCTACATTTTAGTATTTCTAAATTGTTGAGATTTTGTTTTGTTTTTCATATTCTTCATCATCGTTCGTTATCTATGTATGTCTATCGGCCGCTACATCATCGTGTGTGACGCAGTCCAAAAAATGCGAACAATCAACAGTTGTTGGTGTGCGGTGCGGTTCGATGGTTTCGTGTCTAACAGCTGTTAAGATTAAATGTTTACGTTCAGTAATCACTTGCCGAGAGATAATCTCTTTCTAATTTTCGATGGGAAAAAAGTAGTAATTTTAAGTGGAATCATAAAACAATTCTAGATTGGAGGGGTGTTCAAGGGTCCAAAGGGGACTTTGAAGTACAAATGTACTATAAAAAAACTATGTTAAATTATATGTAATAGGTATGCAAATATTTAAAAATGTAAGTCAATCATACGCCTCTGAGTGCCCTAAAATAATAATACTTCTTACAATGCCCTGTACTGTGTACAGGATGCGTATGAGTGGTGTCAATAGTCATACGTCACACAGAACATATTTGAAAAATTATGTTTATTACTATATATTCATTAAATAATTTATAGTGTTGTAATAGAGAACCTGCACAACCTATCTGTATCACATAGAGAATCAATTAAAATAATTACTTTATTTTAATTTATCATCCCTAGATACTTTTAACCCGATTATCTCACGTCTACCTCTATTACGGCACGAGGATTACAAACTATTTTAATTTGTACGGTTTTTTTATGTGGTAATATTCTCGAACAATGGCAACAGAGGTGATTGAAACAAGCTGGTGAGCTGTTTGTAATTGTATACAACAACTGTAAATAAAAATCTCTCAAAGCGGGTCGGATGGAGGTGGCGGATTACAATGCCCTAACTCGGTGTAAAAAAAGTTATAAAAATTTGTGTTGTTCCCTCCACTAACAAGATACGAAATTTATTACCGCAAAACGTAAACGAAAAAAAAAACGGGCGTATAAATCTGAATGAGCGATAGGAAAGATAGACAGATGATGATGAGAGACTTTATGTAATTACAATTTTCCCGTTTTGTAATCTAATACCTAAGCGAAAATGATGCTTAGGTGGGTGGGTGGTTGCTTGTCGATCACTGCTCGAGTAATAACAACAATACCAGCAGCAGCATTACTATAATTTCAAATGGAAAGTTTTTCTCTATAATCATCATCGCCATCATCATCATAATTAATTGCACTTGACTGCAATTGCATTTGAATAGAACTATCGGTTGTTTGTTTATTTTTTCTATTGATAAATTGTTAGTAATATTGTATTACAACAATTCATCATCACCTGGTTGTATTATAGCAGTTATTACAAAACTGGAAAAAAATCATGCAATCATTATTGAAATCATCATCGGAATGACGTTTTGATTTTTTGTTTACAGGTGTAAAGTTCAATTTTGGGGGTGAAGGAGAGTAAAAAGAAAAAAAATATCGAGGAAGGAAATAAAAATATAATTTTTTTAAATAAATATGGATTTTAGTAAATAAATTAAAAACCCACCCTTGGGTTGTATTAGTAATATTAATTGAAGGTAATTTTGGGCGTATGAATTATATTGATATTCATACAACACCAAGGATATGGTAAAAGAAGATGTAGCAATAATATGAATATTTTTTTAAAGGACTAATAATAGGCGTGGATTTTTAAAGAATATTGTTTTTCAAGAATTATCTGATGCCGTGGATTTTTCTAGAGCAATCTGAAGGATTTAAAAAAAATATAAGGGCTAATGTAGGAGTGGATATTTAAAGAATATTTTTTAAGGGGCAAAAACAAACCTAGTATTTTTAATGTAAAATACCTGGAGAAAGTTAAATGAAACATGGATTTTTTAATAATCAATATGGAATTCAGCAAATAAAATTAAAAAATGAGCATTGGGTGGTGTAAGTAATAATAATAGAAGACCGGTGGGCGTATGATTTATGTTAATATTAATACGACCACAAGGATACAAAAAGAGAAGAAGCCTTAATAATATAAATATTTTTTTCCAAGAGCCAATACAAGGCGTGGATTTTTTAAAGAAACATTTTTTTCAAGTACCAATAAGTCGTGGATTTTTTAAAGAACATTTTTTAAGTTTCAACAAGGCGTGTTTTTTAAGAAGATTTTATTAAGTACCAACAAGGCGTGAATTTTTTAAAGAACGTTTTTTTAAGTACCAACTATGCGTGTTTTTTAAGAATATTTTTTCAATGACTATCAGAAAGGGTGGATTTTTTAAATAATATTTTTTCAATGACTATCAGAAAGGGTGGATTTTTTAAAGAATATTTTTTCCAGAAACACCAGAAGCGGGGATTTTTTTTAAAGAATTTTTTTCTAGAACCACCAGAAGCGGGGATTTTTTAAAGAATATTTTCTCAAGGGCCACCTGGAAGACTGGATTTTTTAAAGAATATTTTTTCTATGACCACAAGAAGCGTTGATTTTTTTAAAGAATAT